CTATAATAATTCATTTTATAATAATGTTATTGTAGCCTAGCTTTAAAATTTAGCTTTACCTGAAATATAATACTCGTCAATAGGATAACATGGAGCACAATGCTCTGAAATCGAGTAAATTTAGATTGTTGATAGGGCCATAAGCCGACAGCAAGCAATAGGATTTTGTTGGGATTCCAATAGTAAGCCTCTAGACGTGTCATCTCTCGGCGATCTTTATAATGTTACTGTGAATGTGGAAGACATCGACGAGTGCACACATCTTCTTTTCTCAATTAATATACAATATTTTCTTCTAAATTTTAATGCAATTTTGCTCATTCGTAACGTCTAAGTGTGTAAAAGTTTTTTCATGAGGTCCAAACGCTCAATTGAACCAATTTCTCAGTAAATATTTATGCGATCGATTTAACACTAAAGATAAATCGACAGATGTTTTTTCCCATAAAACTAACTTGCTTGCAGAGAAGTCACGCATGCGCACAATAGATTTCTTCCTGAGCAGCGCCAGAACTTCATTCTAGTTTATGCACTCACAGGATACACTTCGTTTTTTAGAAAGATATACCTCTTATAAGCTTTAATTTTTTTTAACATTGAATGTATTTGGTAAAGTTTACAACTTAAAAATAATTCCATTAAATTATTACATAACGCTATTAGGTATATAATTTTTAAAATAGCGATCGGCGATTAATATGTTTAGCATCAAATACTCATGTACCAATTACGTTATCTGTAATTATATTATTCAACGATTAGTTTTCCTTTTTTATTTCTTAATATTTTAGTATGTTTGTTAATTTATATGTGAAAACTTTCGAATTAAATATTCGTGAAAATGTTATTAAAAAATTAATTAATTAAAAATAATATTAAAAATGAAGTTTAGGGGAGCCTCGATAATTTTGATCTTGACATATGTTATCATGGTTATGATTTTTTAAAAAGTTATTAACAAAAATGTTTATGAGATAAATTTTCTGTTTTTATACAGCCAGTTTCAAGTAATTTTTAACTGATCTTGATATTCTACATGGATTTTCAACTCTTCACGCAAAACCAGCTCCACTCCTCCTCCCCCTCCATCCTTCTTCACGCAAAGTGAACAAACACAATTATAGATCTCGTTTTACCCCGTAAGCAGGGGGGATAAGATGGACTGTTTCGCATGAAAAGTTGAAAACCAACGTAGCCCAGTATAATTACAGACCTCGTTACGCTCTATAAGCAGGGGAGTGGACCTTGCTTTGCGTGAAAAGTTGTAAACCCTTGTGAAACAGGTGGAACTTAGCTTCGCGTTGTAAAGTGTATAGGTGTGAGGTAGTACGTTCCGTCTGCATAACGCAAAGCTGGGTTCTACATGAATTTACAACTTTCCACGCAAAGCAAAATCCATTTAACACTAAAATATGGTTTGAGTTAGGTTAATTTTAGCGGGGTAAAATCTCGTTCGTAGGAAGCAGAACATATTGCCTCTACATACATTTTACGCAAAGTGTAACACATGGATTTAAACGATGAAGTTAAACACACTTATATTGTCTGTTTTGTTAATAACTTTTTAACAAAGGCTAACAAAAACTTTTTGAATGTTGTTCAGAATCGTGACCTTGACAATATATGTGAAGCTGAGTCCCCTAAACTTCACTTTTACAATACTTTATTTATATGTGAACTACATAGTTGTAAGTATTATATAATTATAGTTAGTATGATCGATTTTAATATATTGCAAAAATTTCTATTACTATACCTTAATTTGATTAAATTGTTAATCACCTTCTTTAGCAGGGAAATATCTATATCTACACTGTATGTTTAAAAAAATATATCTATTTTCTAAGTGTGATTACCGTCCATTTCTTGATTAATCTTGTCTTTATCATTACAATAAAGTAATGTTTATTTTATCACCGTGTAGAATACATGACAGTAAAATAAGATACGGAGGCTTTTATTAGCTGAAATTATAAACATTCTTTTAATGTATCCATGTGTAAGCGAATAATATTCTACAAAATATTACCGTAGCAAAACCCTCTATGGATGCATCAAATATTCCACCGATATTTAAAGCAAATTCCTTGACTCTTCTTTGCAATAGGAATAGTATTATTCTTTGTACCTGTAATGGAGTTTTATACCACTGAACGTTGAATCTATGGAAATAAATATAGATAGATAACAGATCGCTAACTTAAGATAAATAGTTTTTATTAATCAATTTCGGCATATATACTGATTTAAAATGCAAATTAATTTTTATATCTTTTGCTGCAACCGCTGAAAGAGGAACGTTTACATGTAGACTCTCGTATAAAAATGTTTCTCTTACGCAGTAACGTATACGTCATTATTGTGGTCAATTACATGCTGCCCAATATAGTTTGCTATAAACATGTATATGATGCTTATAGACGCATATATAAACGGCAGTAGTAAATATTTGTTATTATTTTTAGATGATGCTATCTGGAAAAGCTAAGAAACAAATTTTACGGGCATTATCAATCTCCGTCTGTTTACTACGTACTTAACTATCAATTTATCTTTTATATTTATATATTACTTTTAACTATCAATTTATGAATATTGCACAAGTTTTACAAATTTTTATAGAGATAAGACGACAATTTATAAATAAATGGTAATCACTATAAATCGTTAAAATTCAAGCACCAATACGTTTTATATGAATATATGAATATTGTTTTTAAATTACACATAAAATTAACAATTCTCATTAAGTTTGACCATAACAATTCTACAAATTTGCATAAAAGATATGTATTTACGTTATTATATTTTATGACAGAGTATATCGCTTTTTTACATTATCTTTCTTTTCAAGGCTATAAAAAACTTTAAATGTATAGTGTTGAATTTATCATTTGTATATCATTTATTGAGTTTTATTTAAGATTTATAGCATTTTAATTTGTCTATCCTATAGATACGTATTTATAAATTATTTGCAAATTTTTTATTAATACGTAATTTGGACGCAACTTTCATACATATTGATACACGAAACAGGAAACTTACTTGAAACATGTTGAAACTAAAGCTAGCTACTACACATCCCGTGATACAAAATACCATTATCTCGAATGTGGACAATAAATGTTTGGACAATCTTCAAAAATAAGAATATATTACTAAATGTTTTGTAACTTTGTTGGAGTAAATACAAACTTCATTGCTTGACGATGAATATCTACGGCATAAATTAAGCCCTTGGTCATCAAAATCTTATTTTTTATTGTAATATTTTGTAAAATATCAATGTTTACTGCATGCTCGATACGATAACTGTAAATGTATAATTTTTTATTACAACAATTTATTGAATAATTCAATTTCTTGATAAAATACATTTCACAAACATTTCTTTTAAATATAATAATGCATTGTATACAGATGATCAGTTTTATAAAGCAAATATTGAAATTATTATATTTATTCGTATATCCATACTCGTACCTAGCAATTTTGAACATTCCACAGGTATGCTCAAGATATGTAATAAGCATTGTACCTATTCCTAATCCTACAATTACTTCAGAGTATAGTAATGCGATCATGTGCAAAAGAATCAAATAAAAATACTTTTCTTGATCGACAAAATACTCTGTCGTAATTAGTAAATAATGCGATTGAGACACGTTCATCGATACATGAGTTTCAATTATTAACAATGAAATTTGAACTATAATGGCAGCTAAAAATGCGCAAGATGCAATTGCTAAAAAGCATTAAAAAGTATCATTATCATTGTATTTATTTATAGTATCTAAAATTTTTTGTACATGTATATACGCACGTATTATAAAATAATTTTTAATTTTATTAAAATTTAAATTGTAAAATTGATAGCGATTTTATTTTGTGTATAATGTACACTTTATTACAAAATATTTTTTAATAGAATAGGACTTTATTGTAAAATTAATTCACTTTTTTTTATTTCGTTATTAAACACATTTGCCATTCATCGCAAATGCACATAACAAGTGCTTTAATAAATCCATGTAATAAATTATATACAAGTGCATGTATGAAATTACGATTACTCTACGGAAACTGGATTGTTTTCTTCTTTTTATTTGGCAGTTTAGATTACATTGAAAATACGGTTACACGCAAAATCAACAAAACATTGTTTTACCTGTTAGCGCAACTGTATAACGTTTGGAAAGGCAGCTATATTTGTATATAATAGCAATTTCATTTTTATCCTTTATATTGTTAAGTACATGGCAAAGCTCCATTAGTAAATTTTTTACCTGTCATTTTATTAACTTTTTACTGTTTTTGCATACATCAAAAACAGGTTTTGCTATAAAAATTGTTTTGACAGACAGGTTAATTCTATTTGATGGATACTACGTAAAAGAAATCAACTTACAGTTTTAATTTTAAGATAAAATACGTAGTACTGTATTGTGAACATTGTACAGAAAGATACGGAAGAGAGTACTTTAGTAACAAGGTACCAAGTACATTTAAATGTCATTAATGGTGTCAACTATAAATATAAAGTTTTGTTTAATATCATATATAAGTATAAGAAGTTAATATTAACAGTGCAATATATTTGATATAAAAATCAAATTGTAATTGTCTTTGCTGTTGAAAGATTGCTATGTGGTAATTTATTTCATAACAATGATACTATAATCTAGCTTTACCTGAAATATAATACCCATTGATAGGATAGCACAGAGGACGATACACTGAAATCGAGTAAATTTAGATTGTTGGTAGGGCCATAAGCCGCTAGCAAGCAATAAGATTCTATTCAGATTACAATAGTAAGCTAGTAGACGTGTCATCTCTAGGCGAGCATCAAATTATTACTGCGAATATGGAAGACATTCGACGAATTTCCGAAGACACACATTTCCTTTTTTTCCACTGTAGTCGATTAAATATTATTTGGTTTTTTTCTGAATTTCAACGCAATTTCCCTAATTTGTAACGCCTAATCGTGTAAAAATTTACAATGAGCTCAATTCAATCATTTTCTCAGCAAATATTTATGCAATCGATTTAACATTAACGGTAAGCCGTCAGATGTATTTTTCTCATGAAACCGAGCTACTTGTAGAAAAGTCACGCAAGCGCATTTTCTCCCTGTCAGCGCCAGCACTTCATTCTAGTCTACGCATTTACAGGATACACTTCGTCTTTGAGAAGGATATACATCT